GCCTCTTTTATGCGCAAAATATTCGTAATTGTTAGAATAAAAGTGTGAGATTTCAAATCAATTCTATTGCCTTTCTTTTCAAATTCCATGCGTTTTCTCGGGCTATCAATGAAACAAAAGAATATGTTGCTTGGTTTTGAGGCTAACACAGAGCAAACACAGAGATAAAAATTGGAGTATTCTCTATTAGTTACGTTGTTTACAGCCAGGTAAAATGGTTTTTCGTCGTGATTCGTTCATTAATTTTTTGCATGCTTTTCATCATTCTTTAGCTTGGAATGAGGACGGCCCTTGGATTGGTCTGAACGACCAAGAAGACACCAGCAAATTGAGTTGGTCTGACGGTACCCATGTTGTYCAGCCCATACCATTCCTTACAGACAAGCCTGAACCAGCCATCTCTCTACGGAAGTGTGTTCTCCTTGGTAAAAATGGGAAGTGGTTGGATAAATTGTGCAACATGAAGAATTCATTCATCTGTGAGAAGCGGATAACTTAAGTAACTAACTTGAAACTTGAACTTTGATAAGGGAATACTTTCGAGTTTTCATTCTATTGTTCATACGATTTTGAATTCAATCGATATTCAGAGATTTTGCATGACGCATTTTAATATGTTAACGAGAAAAACAAAAAACAAAAAAAAAACAAACTTAGATTACACAATTACCCATGATGGTCGGAACTGCCGATTTTTCTCCCACTCGGTATATATGTCCTCACAGAAATTCGTACAATGATCCCAATGTAACGAACCTTGGCATGAAGATAGTTTCAAGGTAGACAATTTGTATTGGCACTTCTATTTTGATTTTGATTGAAAAGATGACAATWCATTTTAGAATTTTGATTTTGGTTTCAAAAATCATCTAGTTATCATCTTCAATGTAAACGATGCACTTCGGTGAAAATCTCATCCCACAATGCATTAAATGGTTCAAAARTTGAAAAAAATTGGTAATTAAATAAATTTGAATTTCCCGCCAAATGTATGAAATTGCCAATATATGGTCAAAATAAACGCGGTTTACACGCCCACCAAAACAATCAAATTCAAATAGAACCAAGTGATTGGTACTTAATAGAAAATTTGTAGTTTTTTTGATTTTAGAAGTTGTATGTCACGTGACATTTGACGTCACAGACTCGAAAATACAGGTTTTAATTATTTAAAAATTTTTTTTTTTGACATTTACAAGTATAATTATTGTAATGTGAAAATATTTTTATTGCATCTAGAGTGGCATACCTAGTTTGTCATTCATTAATTGTGTAGATAAACTCATGTAATGAATGAAAATAGTTGTTTCCATGCACAAAGGAGACAAGTAGTAGACGTGGCAGATTAGCATAGCAGAGCGTCGAAGTAACTGAAACTGACTTGAAGACTATGGACCAATTCAAATAACAATTGGGAACTATTGGTGTATTGGCAACAAGACTATCAAAGTTAAAATTAGTAATACATAATATCGTGCGAAGCAATTCACGACTTTCAAAAATGGCGCGATGTGTCACGGTCGTCGACCAGGGCGAAGGACTAAAACGAGGTCTCAAAGGCCANTGTTCACCATCAGTGGCCACGCTGAACTTATCATGAAATCCTATGGCAGCTGCCAAACGACTAAAAGTACTTCCAGACGTAAGAAGAACAATATCACATTCAGCGAGAAGAAATATGTCTAGCAAAATATTTCGAATATAATCGTTATTTTGWCGAACAAAGTCTAGGTGTTGTGGTATTATATCTAGAGTGATGACTTCTTTAGGGTAWTTATGTTTTGCTGTGKCTTTAACTTCTTTATCGTCTGCTGCCAAAAACCACTTTAAATCCAGACTTGAATCTACCTTTTCGTGGATCAGTTTATTTTGTTCACGTGCACAAAGAAAGAATAAAGTCGAATTATGCGAAAGGTAAGAATGCTTGTTAGTGCTTCCCCAATGGTGGTCGCTAGTTCGAATGTGRATTCCAAGAAGAGGTGGCTTTATTCCAAGATAAGACTTTGCTTTTTGTAAAGCTTGTAGCATGGCTGTGTTTTTCCTAAAGAGAAAATGAAAAATACAGCCATAAAGGTCTAATGGCGAGGATGGAATACCTTTCTTTTCAGCGTGTTTCTTTAGGAATGGGTTTTTCCGTAACTGGTCCGCAAATCCCCATATGGTACCCACTGCTTCAAATCGTGTGCGCAGTTTGGTCTCGAAATCAGTTTCGGYTATCATTTTAAGAAAGTCCTTCCCTGATATCTCCATGCCGTCATTATATCCAGGCGGCGCCGTWCKCAATCCCCAGTAACTTTTATGGAATGTCCCAAAGTGACCGAGTGGCAAATTCCAGTCAATTTGATTGGGCTCTAGGTAGTCTCTGATATGACCTGGTCCATTCCAGTTAATAAGAAATGCTCTATCAGTCAGTAAAGCCAGGAAGAAAATAGAAACGATTGCTTGAATGCGATTCCCCATGCCTCCATGATTTTGAAATTCACAATTATAGCTAAGGAACTTTGAAGTGTTTKGGGAGGTGACAGCTTTCATGTGAAACTTGCAGTATTCTTTCTGCCACAAGTAACCACATCGTTCAACATTTTGCGGCTGACATCGATTTGGTGTCTTTGTGATTTTGGTGACTGTTGAATAATTTCCTGAAAAATAAAACCAATAAAATCAATTTTCTTCAAAAATGGTGGGCTATAGCTTATGCATTTTCTGGGTAATTTGAGAAAATGCGACTAACCAATCAGCGTAAAGCTGACAAGCTTATGTTGTAAACATAATCCCCCAACGGGAGAAATTTGCACAGCAAAACTCGACCCAGGAAGGCTGCCTGTCATTTTATTCTATCCGAAAGATCGAAGCTAAAACGCATAGAAAAATGAAAATCTTTATAAAATAGCTTTTAAATGTCAATCAAATATTTATCGTTATAGAAATAGAATTTTATCTTAAAGGGGCATG